GTCACCTGCGCCCTCCAACAACGGTGAGTTGGGTTGCAGTTGCCTGTTTCGCCTCACGCGCGAAGCGAAGTCAAGCCTGCAGAAGTTCCAGCGCGCGTACGAAGTGTTGCCTGCCGCAAGGCGCTTCGGACCAAGGGCGCACGAAGGGTTGCCTGCCACGCGGGCGCACAGTAGTCACTACAGATCGTGTGCCCTCACTCGAACTTGAGAGGCTAGACGCGGAGGGTTGCTACACCGGTTGCATCAAAATAACAGATTGCACATTACCTTTTGCTGACGGCCCCGGCCGCGGGGGGTGGCGAGGAGGGGCACAGGCGGCCGGGAGCACTTGAGGGGCGTCCCAGCCTGTGGCCAGCCCGGGGCAGCCTGTACCCGTGTCCCACAGCCCCACCTCACTTGAGGCTCATTTCCAAAAAATCACCGTGACCTCAAAATGGTCAGGTGCGGTGACGTCACGCGTGAGTCATTTTCAGCTCATCTGACCCCAAAATGACCTAAATGTGACGACCGCAAGTGACTTCAATCCAGACTCATTTGTCCCCAGAATGATCTCAAAATGACCTCTTAGAGTGCACAGTAGGCTTGCGCTTTTCTAGTTTTGCTTCAATATAAATAAAGCAGGATTGGATACATGAAAAATTTAACAACTTATGACACGACTTACAACAACAATTTTATTTAAACATTTGAAGCATTTAGAGAAAAAGGAACTTAAGCATATTTATCACAGGTGGGGCACGCAGGAGAATGGAGAGAAATGCGAAGGTGCAGTACACCAGAAGTAAAGTAAAGTAATTTTTTATTCAACTCGTTGTTGTGGTCACATAGTACAGAGAAAATAGAAGTACCAAGAAATACATAGAAATACATATTCAGAGAAAGGAAGAGCACTTCCCAGATTTTACATATTATACTCGAGCATGTCCTGAACCGAGTAAAATTCTTTTTCAATAAGGAATTTCTTTATCATTTTCTTAATTTTCACCTTATCTCTAGCCATACTTTTGATGTGCTCAGGTAAGCGATCAAAAAACCGTACTCCCATATAATAGGGATTTTTATCTGCAAATTTTCTTTTACAAGCTGGAAGATTCAGGTCAAATTTATACCTGCGAGATAGGCTTTTTACACTCTCTTTTAATTCTTCATATTTATCGATTACCAGGTTCAGACATGTTTGAATATAGATACAAGGGGCTGTCAAAAATCTTATTTTCTTAAATCTGGATCTACAAGATATCTTTCTTCCAATTCTTTCAATAATACAAACAGCCGACTTCTGCAATGAAAATTTTTTTTACAATTCAACCGAGTGGCAGAACCCCATACAGAGCTGGAGTAGGCTAGATGAGAGAAGATAAAAGCATAATATACTTTTACAAGTACCTCTTTGTTCACTATTTGGGAAAGCTGTTTCATCACATAGAGCCCAGATCTAAGTATTTTTGTAATTTCATCTATTTGCTTGCTACTAGATAGGTTTGCATCTATATGGAGACCGAGAAATTTAATGTTTATGACTTCATCAATTAGTTCGTCGCCTACCATCACATTTATACAGTCATCTTCTCTCTTCCACCTACTTATTAGCATAACATTTGTTTTTGATGCGTTAACAACTAAATTATGTTGTTCTAAAAAATCAATAGTATCCCTAAGGATAGAATTTGTTCTACATTCGAGATCTTTCAAAGAGTCTGCAAGAATAATAAGATTCGAATCATCAGCATAGAGTATTGGCTTACAATTTTGATCATTTCTACTTTTAATGAATTCAACAATACTATTAATGTATATTAGAAAAAGTAGAGGTCCCAACACTGAGCCTTGCGGCACTCCATAAACCACCTCTAGGAGTGATGAATCTACTACTTGTTTCCTAATTCCATTTTCTTCAAATTCCATCCTGACGCACTGTTTCCTTTTACTTAAATAAGATTTGCACCACTCCAGAGGCAGGCCTCTGACTCCATACATATCTAATTTTGACAACAACAATGCATGGTCCACACAGTCAAAGGCTTTTGAGAGGTCAAGGAAAAGACCAGATACCTTCTTTTTTTTTTTCGAGTGCATTTATAATAACTTCCAAAGCATTGGCAACTGCTCCTAATGTAGATTTACCTTTTTGAAAGCCATGCTGCTCTTTAGCAATTATGTTATTTACTGTCATGAAGTTAAACAGCCTTTTATACAAGCATTTTTCATATATTTTAGCAATGCTGGAATTTAACGTTACCGGTCTATAGTTCTCTAGTCCTTTCCTTGAGCCTTTCTTAAACAGTGGCTTCACAACGCCGATTTTTAGAGCTTCAGGAAGAACGAAGGGAAATGTTTTACAAGAAGACAACACTTCCAACATTGGTCAACTAGCATAACATGTTCCAGTGGCTGTCGCAGGCAGTCCTACAAACAAGATTAAACGGTGGCCTTGGACTTTATGAATTTTCTTGAGGGTTTTTTTTTTTTTTTATATATAGGTGTAGTGATGGCCGTGGTGAGGCGTTACGGTGGTCCGGTCTGGGCAGATTTAAGCTCCTTGTTAAGTAAATTCTGCACGATTATGATTAACATCCACAGCGAGGATGCTATAAACACTATCATTTTCGCCTGTGCGCTAAAAAATATTTTGTCAAACCCGTCAGAAAAAATGATGGGACGTACTGCGTCAAGGCAGTACTGCATAAAATTGACGGGAGAAAAAATGATGGGACGTACTGCGTCAAGGCAGTACTGCATAAAATTGACGGGTGGTGCTTCGCGAACGCAGTGAGTAATAGAAAATATGGGAGGCGTTTCGTCAACGCGGCACTGAATCAAATTGGTGGTTTCAGCATCGCGGCGCTGAAGTATTCCGGGAAGTATTTTGCCACAGATCTTAGTAAAAGTGGCACGTAAAACGCGGTACTGGGTAAAAGGTTTTTCGTCAAAACCGCGGTACCACCAACGGAAAAGGGTGAAATCGCAGCACTGAGGGGCGAGAGGCGTTTCGTCAACGCCGCGCATAGAATCGGGGGACTGCGATGGAGAGCTCGACCTCTTGGAAATTAATGGAGAGACTTTTTCCAGACGTAGGTCAAAGCATTCCGGTGTCATTCTCAGGAAACGGAAGTAATCATCTGCTGGTAGTAGAGCATACCAGGCACCATAAATCTTCCTATCCTGCAGCATAGGCCTGGTACGCCACGCTAAAATTCTCTTCCGGTTTCTTTTCCATTTCAAAATTCTCTTCCGGTTTCTTTTCCATTTCAAAAATTTCACAATCGTAAGCTTTTTCGGTAATCCTGTAAAAAGAGTTTCAATTAAAGAAAACCAATGCAAATCATAACTAGAGAGGACGGAACAGAGTCCTCTCTGATCATAACCTGGAACAAAAGAACTTACTCAATTTCCAGGGGGTTATCGGAGAGCCACGTCTAGTTCTGCAAAGAGCTGACAACATCAAATTTCTGAGACTCTCAAGTAGCTTCATTTTAATTGATGGGGCACTGCAGCAGTTCACGAAAAGTGTCGCGCTGTCAATCTTGCACGCCGAACAAGAGAGAGACTTCTGATTTGTTGATGCACGCCGAACAACAAATGCCGAACGAAACTGAGCGGGTGCTGCCAACATGACGGTGCCTTCGTCCCCCCGCCGTCGGGGGGGAAAGCAAATACTATCATTTAATTCCACGCTGAAAATGTGCAGTCCTGTCATCCAAATGAAAGTTGTTGTACGATGTGCGTGAAATTTTCGAACCTAATACCGCTACTGCAGGGGTAACATCACGACCGAAGACCGACCGACTGCGACCGACCTGGCAGGACTGGGCGGGCTCACGGGGCACCGCGGGCACCACTTGTTGAGGGTGCATTCTTTTGAGGAAAGGTCCATCGGGAGGTCGATCGGTCCGATCGGTCGGTCGAGGGGTCGAGGCGGTCGACCTAGAGCCTTAGAGGCAGACATATTTGCATATTCCGCAACACCTCGATCCAGGCGATAACGTTCGAACGCGTACTCGAACCACGTTTGAATGCCGTGCGGGAAGGCACCGGAGCGGTGGAGGGGGGAACGGTCTACAGAGCGGGTCTGGACCAATGAGAGCACGGCAGAGAGTCGCGGTGAGGGAGGTAACTGACCTTTCGTCCCCCCCCCCCTTCTCTCGTGTAGGCCAGTTTGCCTGTTTCTTATCGGAACCCCCCCCCCCTCTCTCGGAAGTTCAGTAGGTCAGAGGCACGAGTACCGAGTACCAGCATGGAGAAGGACTATTACCTGGAGTAGAATGGGGTCCGGTCGTGGGCAAGGGACCATTGTTGATCAGCCAGTCACGAATAACTGCTTCTACCCTCTGGTGACAGAAAGTTAGCCTAGCCATGATAGTTTTTTCGAACACAAGGACAAAACGCCAAGAGTCTACTACTCTCATCCGATTTGATTGAACATGAGGCGCAGCCTAGTGCAGCCAAGCCATCGTGCATATTTTTGTAATCAGCGCGGTGAGACAAAGGTATTGGCCGCTATTAGCGCATATTTTGAGGTCACGTTTTCTTTCTGGTAAGGAGTTTGGGAGTAATAAGCAGACTTTCCATTATTCATTTTCGTAATATTTATTAGCTTGCAACTGGCTAATACTTGTTTTTATTCCTTGTTCCCAAAACTTGGCCTACTAATATAATGACATACATAAAATTCGACACACTCAAATTAAATGTAGTGTAACAATATTTATTTAGGGCACTCGCATGCAGTTTTCTTAAAATCCCTTTTTTTGTACAGTATCAGTCTTATTTTTAAATTTTTTTAAATAAAATTTTAATACCCAATGGTACATTACAGCCTTGCATTTTCCTCGTCATGCAGCAGGTCTAAACTATATTAACGTCAATACAAACTATTGAATCTATCATAAACTAAATATATTTATAGCTTCTATAACATAACAATATGAGTCATCACACAATTCTTTGCCAGTCTCTCATTATCCCTCTGGACAGCCACATAAGATGGTTGTAAGCCAGTCTTTTTTTTTTTTTTTTAATTTCATTTTGGTATTATTTTAATATCCAGCCCAGCATTTTCGTGAACATGCAGCAGCAGGGCTGAACTTGTTCCCTCATATTTGAAGGTCAATGCACACAAAATAATCTATCATAAATTAGAAATAATTATTATAGGTAATACGACATGATGAAATAGGTCAGACGCAATTCCTTGCCAGACTTCTCCCTTCCCTCTGCACAGCTGCGGCAGCGGGAGGTGGTTGTGCACACCCCCAGAAAAGGGGTCGTCACTCTTCGTCTTCGACCGCAGAGCTGGCGGCGGGCTTCGCCATCTCGTCCTTCAGCACTATCAAGTGCGTCGGGTAGAACTCGGCGTCCCCGAACTTGGCGTACCCGTCGGTAAAATCGTGGATGGGCCGAGTGGTGTCGTAGCCGGGCGGTGGACAACTCGTCCTGCTCAGGCACACGTTCCCCACGAGCACGTCGAACAGGAACAGATATCTGCAAAGGTCGGAGGTTAACTAACTTTTCCCTTTCCACCCCACGTCAAGAAGGACGGAATCAAAATGAAGCTCACCGGCAGCCAGTGGCAGGCTCTCGTCTCGCGAAGCGGCTGGCGTAGGCTGCTCTGTCCGTGAAGCTGACTCCGTGGCCGCAGAATCCACCGGGTGCACCTGCATCAAAGAGATAAGGGTGAACGGGTTGAGTACACAGGCGACTAGCTCGAGACGTAAGGCCGAGGGAATCCCACAGAAGGATCACCCAGTGAACGACCAAACAATGCGCGGGGATTAAAATGGTGCCCATGCCAGCCACGCCCAGCTCGGCTCGTCGCGCAGCCCGCCTTCACACACTCAATCGCTCCCTGTCCCCCCCCCCTCCCCACGGGCGCCGAGGAATCTCGCTCAGAGCCGGGATTGAGGTGGGCATAGTGCCTGTGGGCCTGCGTGGGCGCATGACTTTTTCGCCCGGCCCATTCTGGGTCCAACCCACCACATGCCCACCCATGTTGGGACCAACCCACTCCGAGCCCACTCGAAAATTCGGGCTGGGGTTGAGTGGGTTGGACAATTATTGAAGAGCGTATACTCACAACTGGGCTCGACCAGCTCGCGCCGGCTGGGCAGCTGGTTGGACTGCACGACGGCGTCCACGTTCCAAAAGGCCGTGCCGTGCAGGAGGCGCATCACCTTGGCGCCGGGCTTCCCCTTGTAGAGCTCCACGTTGGCGGCGAAGGCCGCGAAGGTGGCCGGGTTGTTGAGCACCTCGATGCGGTTCAGTGTTAACCGTTCGCCGCCCAGGTGCTCCCTGAACAGGCGCTGCACCTTGCCGTACTCCAGACTGTCCTCGGCCAGGACGGTCCGCGCGCCTTTACCGATGCTGACCGTCGCGGAGTACGCGAGTACGTCGATTTCCTTCGGGTAGTCGCTTGGTAATGCCTGCCGGCCGGCTTCGTCATAAACCCACGCCGGAATCGTCCCGAAGGGCTGCAGCACTATCAAGTGCGTCGGGTAGAACTCGCCGTCCGCGAACTTGGCGTACCCGTCGATGTTCGTGTCGACGGGCCGAGTGGTGTCGAAGCCGACTGGGGGCAGCCTTGCGCCGCTCCGGCACATGTTCCCCACGAGCACGTCGCACAGGAACATGTAACTGCAACAACAAGTTTGGCGGTCAACTCATTTTCCCTCACCCGCAACGCCAAGTACGCTAAGGATGAAATCAAAGTAGCGCTTACTGGCAACCAGAGGGAGGGTCCAGTCTCGCGTAGGTTCTGGCGTACGCTGTTTTATCTGTGAAGTAAATGCCGTCGCCGCAGTACATGTTGGTTCGCCCTGCAACAAAGAGAAAGGCTGGGGTAAATGTTTCAAAACATTACAAATTGTTTAAATTTCTGCCATCTGTTAGCGTGTAAGCGTTGGCGTTAATGTTTATTTCTTCCGCGTTCAATGTCCTGGGACGCTCACAGAACGCTCTGGGAGGCTCCTTTCTCTATGGAAAGATCGGCCGAGAGACTATCAGGTACCAAGGTCAAGGGAGTTACACACACACACACACACACACACACACACACACACACACGCAGACGCGGAGGCGCCTGATCAGCTAATGTCACGCGATGCGAGTCGCTGACGCGAATGAAAACGACAAATTCTGGAAAAGCACACTCACGGTTGAAGTCGTTCAGGTTGATCTTGCTGAGCTGGAGGTTGGACTGCACGATGTCGTCCACGTTCCTCAAGGGCGTGCCGTGCAGGAGGCGCATCACCTTGGCGCCGGTCTTCCCCTTGAAGAGCTCCACGTTGGCGGCGAACGCCGCGAAGGTGGCCGGGTTGTTGAGCACCTCGATGCGGTTCACCGTGAAGCCTACGCCGGACAAATCCTCTCTGAGCAGGCGCTCCACCTGCCGGTACTCCAGGCTGTCCTCGGCCAGGACGGTCCGCGCGCCCACGCCGATGCGGGTCGTCGCGGAGTACGCGCGGATGTCCACTTCCTTCGGGTAGTCCATGACGGCACTCGATGTGCGCAGGTCGGGAGCGGATGGAGGACTGGCCCGGCTCGGGAAAGCCGGCCTATTTATAACCTCGGTCGCCCGCACCCGCACCACACTTCCCCCACTCCAACCGAGATTCCAGGCGTCGACAAGTTTGAACCTGCAGCGTTTGCATTCGAGGCGCGCTCTATCGGCCCTTGGTGGGCACTATTGGAACTGCCCTGGTGTGGCCAGTGGAAATATATTTTATCCCGTTTTGAACTCTTCATTTTTTCAAAGCCAAGTGTTGGTGGTGACGTCACAGCCGACGGTCACGCTCATGGAGTCACGAACAAATTGTTAGACATAATGTGGGTGAGCTGGCCGCGGCTCGCATCATTATTACCAGGGCGCGATGACCGCCAGGAGGAAGAAGGCACCGTCGCAGACACCGTCTCCCCCCCCCCTTTCCCCGACGCCGCGTCCCCCCCCCCCTCCCCGCGCAGCGACCGGCTGCGTTTTTCTTGTATCGCGAGGCGCCGCACCTCCAAGCCGAGGGAAGGACTGACCTGCACCAACCCTAGGGCTCCAACGTATCTCTTGCTTTTGTTTGTTTTCTTTGCCCGATAAAATAATCGTCACGAGAAAGAGAACGAGCCACTGCTAGTCCTATTTAAAAAGAGGACCTTCTGGCAACCAAAAAAAAATCCTCGCATATGCTGTGCACTTAAAAACCCTTAAAAACTTAACTGGAACCTGCTAAAATTTAACAAAAGTGAACACATGATTGAAACTGACTTTGCGCACTGGGCTTTAGTCTCGGCTGCCTTAATCACTCATTTTGAGGCTATTTATAACCATGTTATAATAATAAGTCCGGCCAGGCCCAGTTTTCTCCATCTCAGATGAGAGAGGGACGAATTACGAGCATTTCTCGTTGGTTTAGCGATTTAACCATGAACGAGGGGACTAACATAACCTAACATAACCTCAGTCTCGCTACACGCACGATTCGGCAACGCCGCGCACTTCCGGCACACAGTGTTGCGACCAAAAAATCGGAAACTGTGTGCGACGGACCGTATCTCCTTCCTGCCTTCTCCACTGTTAAAATATTCTGAACATTCGGATCAATTTCGTTAGATTTTGGTTTTCAGACTGTTTTTAGACCAAGCTGTTTCAGATTTCGTGGCCTGAAATTTTCAAACCGCAAGATGACTTCTTTAGCCTGAAAATTTCAGAGCAGGCTGAATTCTTAAAAGGTTATTCTGCAGAAAAACGTCAGCCAAAATGGTCTAAATTTTCAGGCAAAAATTTAACATGAAGCAACTTATTGCCACGGCTGTTGAGTAGCTGCCGGTGTGTTTGGGCTACATTTTGCCCATGCCGGCTGGGCTGGGCTTCGGAGGCTCCGAAGTCAACATCGCTGATGATGATGGGAATTCCCTCCGGCAGTCAACAACGCTGATGATGATGGGAATTCCCTCCGGCTGATTCAAAGTGCCGTGTTACCGTATCAGGTGAGGCTCAATTAAAAATTTCAAATTGAAACGTGCAGAGTACGTAGCAGTTTGGCTTCAGCAATGTAATTATCCGAGTAGCACCGCATCCGCGAGCGCTACCGCGAGCACCAGGGCGCGACGACCGCGCGGAGGTAGACGCGTGTTTATCATTGTCTGGTCCCCCTCCTCCTCTCCCCCTCCCCTCTGACGGCGCGGCGCGGCCGCGGCTCCCCCTCCCCCTCCCGTCCCAACCGCCGTCACCGCCGCCAGCCGCGAGCGAGGCCGCATGCAACTCGCGAGGCAGGCGCGTGCCACGCCAGCCGCCAGCGAGACCTTGACCGCGACCGGTCGCGGCACCCTCGATAGTCTCCCTCTCGGCTCAGCGTCCGGGGGGAAGCGGGGTGCCGAAGGCATCGCGTCGCCCTTTAAACGGCAACAGGCGATAAATTAAATGTCTCACCGCAACCGCTCCCCCCCCCCATTTGCATGACGGCTACACTGCTACACGACGCCATTTTTACCGCCGTCACCCCGGCGCCGCGCTTCGCCGAGATCTGCCTCAATCTGTTCCACGCGGCGGATCCCCCATATTTCTCGCCGGTTCGGGGAATGCCTCCTCTCCTCAGCGCGGCCTCGGCGCGCCCACGCACAGTACGCGGCCTCTGACACCTGGCGGACGGTGCGGCCGGGGTGGGCCTGGGCCGAGGCGTGCGCCGTAACTGCTGCGACATGTTCGCGCGCCGCCGGGGTAATGTTCCGAGTTGCGCGCGGGGGCCGAGGCCGAGGCCAAGACCGAGGCTGGGGAAGAGGCGAGGCTGCGGGGAAGACTCGAGACGAGGCCTGTCGTAAAAGGAAGGCAAAAGTTTCTCGAGGCGAGGAGTGGCTTCCCAAGCAGTGCGCCAGCGCCGCCCTGGCAGTGTGGCACTAGCGCCCCGGCTGCCACGGCTGCCACTGCTGCCACTGCCGCCACCATCCAATAAACTGACTTTGTTTAACGCCGGTCGCTCCGTCTTCGTCGCCCTGATGGCCTTCATTTCGCCCTTGCATTTCATCCGCCCCGCCGCCTCCCTGGCGCGCCTCGGTTACAGTACCTCGGCCTCGGCAGCGAGGTGGCAGCGCAACGGAAACAACGAAACATCGCAGCGGCGCAGAAATGCAGAATGCACAGTGCAGGCTCAGGAAGGCGGCTGGACACTCTGGACACGGACACCCAGGCAGCGACAGATGTGGACAATGAGATTTTAGTGAACGTGCAGCACGCTGACGTGTGACTGTACAGAGAGGGGTGTGGCCCGAGAGGGTTGCCAACCCTTTTTCAGTCCCTTTTTCCACAACGTAAAATAATATCAAACACAAAAGAGGTCAGTGAAGCGGGCTTACATGCGGCAATGGCAACGGACTCCTCTCTATGCGATCGATTCGCCCAGTGGGCCATTAAACTGCTCCCGGTAAGCTGCTATGCGCGGCGTGGCTTGGTGCGGTGCGGCGGGCGCGGCGTGGCGTGGCGTGGAACGCACCGCCCGCCAAATCCCCCGGTCTATTTGCGCCCCGCCCACGCACCATCATTCCCAACCACTTTTCGCGGGCAAGGGCCGCCCCAACCGGCCAGGCCGCGCGCGTTTGCCCAGGTGTACTGGCGCTACCCCGCTTCGCGCTGTACAGTGCCGCGTGCACACCGTAAACAACGAAAAACGAGCGGGCCAACTATGAGGCCAAACCCGGCCCGTCCGCATGCATCAACGGCATCCCATGACTGACCAAGCACCCCGCACTCCGTGCTGTTGCAGGCGTCCGGGCCGCCCTCCACGCCCTCAACCCCGCCACACTGGTGGGGGCGTTCCTCGGTGCCGCCCTGGCCGTGCTGCGGCTGCCGCTGCTCCCCGTCGGCCTGCTCGTCACCGCCGTCATGTGCCTGCGGGACCTGGCGCACGCAGGCAAGTACACGTTCCATGTTGGTCGGTCGTCGCCGCCCCGCTAGCTCCCAAATGAAGCGCCCTCCACCGCAAAGAAGAACAAAACGTGGATGTCTACGGCGCCGCGAAGTTGATCAAAATGCAGAGGGATATGTCTTGGACTGTTTTGGACCTCCCTTCCCTTCCTCCCCCTCCTCCCTCTCCAGCACGCGGGCGTCGCCTCTCTCGCGGCGCGTTGCGTTCACTCGGCCGCCTTGCCCGCCTTGCCATTGCCAGTCCGCGCGGCGCGAGGTAGATTGGCCGTCCGGGGAGGGGGGGGGGGGGGGGGAGTGTTCGCGCCCCAGGTAACTTGCCGCCGCGCCGTTCATTCCTTCATTCCCCGGGGCGGCCCTTTCTCGCGAGGCAGCTCCCGATCATTTTATTAGGTTTTTCCTTTGAGACGTACCGCCCGGAGCAGCGGGGTGCGGCGGCGGGGCGGTGGCAGGGCGGCGGCAGGGTGGTGACAAGGCAGCGGCAGGGTGGCGGTAGGGCTGGTGGGGCTTAGTTCATATGGAAGATAGGTCGGCGCAACCGAGATGCATGCTGAGATACCAGACACCCTCCCTAATCCGTCGCCACCTGCAGCGGAGAAGCGCCTACCTGCCTGCCAGCCTGCCTGCCGGAGTGCCCGGTCTCCCAGCATTCATCTCGCATCTCGGTTGCGCCGACCCATGAAGGCGGAGATGGTGATGATGTGCCGCGCGTCGTCGTCACCGGGAGCCACCCTGGCCTGGATGTGTCGCCCCGCCACCCTCACGCACTCGTTGGGGTGATCGCGGTGGTCGCGGCGATCCTCGCGCCATCCTCCTTGCCGAGTAGAATCCGCCACTTGGCGGGCCAACGTCCTTGTGGTGGGGAATCAACTACTTGGAGGGGTCACCCCCGCGCGGCCCCCACCCGCACCGCGCCCCACGCCGTCGTCGCGAAGCCCTGTAAGTCTATTACGATCCCACTCTCCTCCCCCGCCACGGGCCGGGCGGGCCGGGTGCACATACGCCGTGCGGCGGCGAGCCCGCTGCACTGCACGGCACGACACGGCACGGCGCCAACAACAAAGTCGCGTCCGCGCCACGCCCCAGGGCCCCAGCGCCGAAAAATCCAGAATCGAAGAATGCGACCAACGACGAGAGGACGAGAGGGAGGGAGCTGGAGAAAGTTCCATAAAGGAATCGGTATTTTTTGGCCGTTCGCCCTGGCGCCCTCGCGGCCTGGCGGTTGCGGCGGCAAGGTTCACCGTCCCCTGTTCCGTTTCTTATTTTCCCCGACGAAAACACAATGGTCTCTCTGCCGGCAAATAAACCGGCAGGGCGGAGCTGGAAGGGAGGGGGTGGGGGCATCTCCACTGTGGTCCATGATCCCGGCCGGAGCGTGGGCAAAGCGTGGGCTGCGCGGTGCGGCGGCGTAGCGCAGCAGAGCGCCGGCAGCACAACATGTGCATGTACAAGTACCGCTTGGAAAGGGTATTAACGAACGACTTTTCGCAGCTCTAATTTTATATTAACCACACGTGCGCCATCCCTCCTTCCCCCTCTCTCCTCCTCCTCCTTCCCTGGCGTGCCGGGCCGGCCGCGCCCCGTCGCTGGGGCTTGCGCTGGGGCTTGCGCTGGGGATGGAGAGGACGCTCACCCCAATGTG